ATCTCTCTCAAGGGCCCAGAGTTTGTGAGGAAGCACATTCTAAACAAACATGGTGACAAGATTGAGGAAGTAAAGAAAGAGGTCGTCTTTTTCAACAACTTCCTGATGGATGCAAAAAGACCCTCCATCCCAGAGATGAAACCTCCACCTCCTCCAGGCCCAGGACAGGGTAAAAAGCACATCAATCTTGATGATTTTTACAGTGGGTGTAGAAAAGAATCACTCCCTTTGAAATCTCATTGTGTTTGCTGCCTGACCGTTTTTGTTTTATCCAGCTGTATTTACTCAGTGCAAGTGAAAGATAAAACACCAACATGTCAGAAAAAATTACAAAACAATCACCGAGTTGGAAAAAGGGTCACCCCCTTGGGTCAGTATTTTGTACAACCACCTTTTGCTTTAATTACAACCTTTAGTCTGCTGGGATTTGTCTCCACTAACTCTGCACATCTAGACTTTGCATTATTCGCCCACTCTTCCTTGCAGAACTGCTCAAGTTCAGTTAAATGTGATGGTGAGTGTTTGTGGACTGCAGTCTTGGAAGTCATTCCACAGATTTCAGTGGGGTTTAAAGGGGTCATATGATGCTATTTTAAAGATCATTTATTTTGTGTATTTGGTGTAACAGAATATGTTGACATGCTTTAATATTCAAAACTTTTTCAAATGCTGTACATTATTGTAGGTCCTCTATGCCCGCCTCTCTCAAACACGTCGTTTTCAACAAAGCCCCTTCCGACAGCTGGCCAATCAGTCTGCTCTGATTGGCCAGCTGACCCAGTGTATTGTGATTGGCCGAACACCACAAGCACGCGTCGGAATTGTAACGCCCCTTACCATAATCGCGAGCGTCAGCTTTCAAAGTAAATATCAAGACAGTTAATAATGTTGTTAGTTTTACCATCAGTTCAAGCCCGAAAGGGCAACAGAGTCACGTGACAGACACAGTGATGATGCAGTACACAAGCCGCGGTTAAGACAGCTGACGTGCTATGATTTCTGACAGACAGTTCACTCTCCTGTGATGTTACCCTGTTCTCCTCACACACACACACACACACACACACACACACACACACACCCGACGCGTTACTCTGCGCTGCGCAAAACTCCGCATTTGAACAGTCAATAGCAAATACTTAAACTAATAACAAAACATACTTACAGTCGCTGATTCAGAAGCGCCAGATTGTTTTAATAGAAATAGCCTTTGTGCACAGCCAGCCTTGTACTCTTCTAGGTTCAAAAAACTGT